GTTTGGGCAGGCCGAACAGAAGGATAGAATATCATGTACGGATTGTTATTTTGGGGTACGATATAGGGATTAGCTTAAAGGGCTTATATAGGAAAATGCAAAAGAAAATGGAAACTACTATTTAGGGTCATTCGGATCGCTAAAAGTTACATGGGATCACACAGGGACTCCTACTGTACACTCATTCTTGGATTCTAAACCCTAAACCCTAAACCCTACCCTAAATCTTACCCCTCGAGAGCCTCCCATCCTGCGTGCCATTGCTGCTGGGGCCGTCCTGCGCTACCGCTGTCCTGGGGCGCGCCGAGCGGCCTTCCCGACATCACCGTTGCCCCGTTTCGCGCCCTCCCGCTGGATTACCTGATTCTCCGCAAGGCGAATGTCAGATGTGAAGGATATCCCAGTCCCGGGGCAGATGGACCTTGATCTCAGCGATGGCGAAGAGAAGGACGTCATTCATGTCCCCTCCAAGAAGAAAGGACGTGAGGATGTGAAGGCAGCCACCTCTCCGCAGAAGAGGCCTGCTCCGGATGCGGAGAACGGGGTCACGCTGGCGTCCATCACTGCGCTCCTGCAGGCCCAGATGCAGGAGATCCGGACGAATCACAGAGCTGAGTTGAACGCCGCCATTAAAGCCTCAGAGGAAAAGATCCAAGGGACAGTCCAGCTGCTGAAGAGTGACTTCCAAAAGCAGATCCTGGACACCAATGAGGGCGTGGCACAGCTCCAAGACACGCAGAAGTCCCTGATGGCACGGATAGATGTGCTGGAGAGGGGGTCCGCACCAAGAGGTGCTGCTTCTGAGCTTGCGGAGAGAAAGCCCACCCTTGTATGGGGGGGCTGGCGGGAAGACACGAGACGCCAACTGATCCTGAAGGACCTCGAGCATGCAATTGCAGATATGAACTTGCAGGATCAGCTGGATGGTCAGCCATGGGTCCCTGGCTCCCGGCACTCCATAGCCTTCCTTGAGTTCGAAAAGCGCCAAGGAGAAGACGACAGAGCTGTGCAGTTGCGCATGAACGGGGTCACTCGGGCGGTGGCGGCGGCAGGGATCAAGACCGAGAACCTCCAAGAGAATCGTGCCATATGGTGTGCGGTCAGCAGAGCCCGGCAAGACAGGGATGGCAATGGTTCCCACGCAGGGAAAATCCGCAAGCTCCTGCACTGGAGCAACACTGACATGAGCCTGGTCGACTGTTCCTACAGGCAGGGCTCGGTCTGGCTTCAGGACACCATGGTGGGAAGCGTCACCAAAGCTGCCCCTAACGTGAACGTGCTCAAGGGCAAGATGCAGGGCTCGTGGGTAGATGTGGCGGCCATCGCGAAGATTCTGGGCAAGCAGAAGGATCAGCTGGAAAGGCAGTGGGAGAACATTGTGCTTATGTGGGGGGGTAACTGATCTACGAGGCAAGAAGCTGACAGGGTGCCATTTTCAGGTCCTCCAGTTGCGAGACAAGATCGTGCTGAGGGTAGGGTGAATGGCAGGGCTAGTGGTCGTGACGACAGGTTTTGTGGAGATCGTGCTGAGGGGCTCGAACTCCTCGAAGGGGCTCGCCAAGGTTCGCGAATGTCTACGGCAGTCCTATCTCGGACACGTTCTGATGGCCCGGAAGAGTTTCCTTGTGATGAAAAGCGTCCCTCTCCGAAGGAGAGGCAGTCTTTGAGTGTGATGGATGTGGAGACTGAGCAGCTGTCCGAACCGGAGGGCTGCGACCATTGTACAGATTTTGTGGGCTATGTGGCAGAGGGTCAGGTTCAGATTGACGATGCTCATTACTCTCCATCGGATTGTGAAGGCATGCAGAAGGATGATTCCTGTAGCAGGGAAGATGGCCCAGAGGTTGCTGCGGCCAAGGAGGGCTCGAAACCCACGCAGTGCAATGCCCTCTGGCAGCCAGCGCGGGTAGTCAGCGGACCCAAGTTCTTCAATCAGAGCCACCTCCTCCGTGACACAGTGGAGTCCTCTTGCTCTGCAGTTGACTATAAAGGAGACTGCAAAGGATCAGATGGGGTGAGCGACTGCAAGAGCCAGGCAAAAGAGAGTGTCCTAGTCTCCAGTTGGAACGTGGCTGGATGTGGTGCAAGGCAAGTCAAGCTCATGCTCAGTCATGTGGTTGCGTCCGACATTGTGTCCATCCAAGAATTCCCCAAACAGCCCCCGGGGTGGAAGGTCCTGCTGGGGGAGAATTTCTGTGGGGTATTGCGGCAGAACTACTTCATGTACCGAAGTGTTGGTGTGTTTTACCGCAAAAGCAAGTTCCAGCTGATCAAGAAGATTGGGGTGTCGAGAGGGATATGGGTTAAGCTCAAGCACCTTTCAACGGGGGCAATGTTTGTGGGTGGGGTCGGTGCACTTGCCCAACAATGAGACGCATGACGAGATCCGGGGGCTTCATGCTGAATTTCTGCGAGTGATCCCAGACAGAGAGCCACATGTCGTAATGCTGGGAGACTACAATGTGCAGTTCTCATGGAAAGAGTCTGGGGATGAGAGTGTCGTGCCTGCAGTTCTGTCCACCAAGTGGGCGGCACTGAGACAGCAAGCCGCCGAAGTTGGATTACAACAAGTTTGCCCCAGCAAAAGGTGCGTGAGCGTGGCCACCTTCCACTCCAGAAAGGAAAACGTCGCCAAGAGGCAGATTGATGGCGCGTTTGTTCGGGATCTCCAGCATGGTAGTCTAGAAACACAGGAGGGGAGCAGACATGAAGTCAGCGCAGACCATGACAGAATTCAGATGAGGGTTTTTCTGGGGAGGAGACAGCAAAGGGCTAGAACAAGGGCTGGAGGGGTCAGAGTGGTTGCCACACCCGTCCCGCCCCAAACCGTGGTCACTCAGGAGTCCCTTTGTGCACTGGCTGCAACACACACCCGCCCACCCCGCCTGGGACCTATAAGTTTCAACCGAGTGCGGCTACACGAATGCTTCAGCAGATGGCGAAACAGGGAAACGATGCAGAGAGCTGGAAAAGGTATAGGGTCAGCCTTAGGAAAGAGAAAGATGCGTGGAAGGGGGAGAGGGTTGACAGGGCATTTGAGGACTGGAGCCTGTGCAAGAGTATGACGAAACCGGGCATGGGGGGAAGAGTACATGGCTACCAATGAGAGTGAGGATCCTGTGGGGGAGATTGTGCAGCACTTCCATACCATTTTCTTCAGTGAAAAGGAGGTCGAGAATATGAAGAAAATGGAATCTCTACTACATCGAACAAGTTCCCAGGAGCAGTGCGCTGAGTTTACCACGCAGGAGGTCAAAGATGCAATTATGGATGGTAAACAAGGCAAAGCTGTAGGCCCTGATCACGTGCCTACGGAGATGCTGAAAGACATGTGTCAGCATGATTGTTCACTTGTAGCCCTCACTACGTTCTTCAACGATATTCTGCGAAGCGGAAACATCCCCCTTGATTGGGACTTCTCGATTACCACGCTGCTCCCGAAGGTGATCCCCCCGCAGCACCCCAAGGAATTGCGGCCTATTGCGCTGGCTTCACATATCAGTAAGGTCTTTTCGAGATTGCTCATGACGCGGTTAGCAGCCCCCCTCAGCATCAAGGGCCGCAAGCAGCTGGCGGGCAAGCATCGACAGCCTGCTGAATTCTTATGGTCAGCGGTTCACATGGTCAATCTGTGCAAAGAGTGGAAGAATGACGCCTATATCCTCAAACTAGACTTGAGAAGAGCATTTGACAGTGTGTCCAGATTGAAGCTCGCAGAGAAGATTATTGAATGGGCGCATGGAAAGTTTCCTTTTGAGGTTAGGTGTCTTATTTGGATGCTCATGAGCGGAGATATTGTCCTAGTGCTCCCCTGGAGTGACCATGAGATGAAAGCCAACATTGGCGTAAAACAAGGCGCCGCCGAAAGTCCAATCCTCTTTGCAAAACTCCTCGATGACCTCCTCAGTGAAGTGGGCTTGGAAGCGGACTCGGCGATCCTCTCAGAAATCCCCGATGACGGGGCTTGTTACATGGACGACGTACTGGGGTGGAAGTCCAGCATCTTGGGTCTCCAAAGGCTGCTTGATGCGCTCTTACTAAAACTGGCGGAGTTTGGTCTTCATGTACAACCCGCTAAGTGTCAACTCTTGTGCATCTAAGGGCCGCGCAACAAGCCACTGATCATCGAGGGGCAGAAACTTTTTCCGTTGCCTGAAGGAGAGCCTTTGTTTGTCATGAACCTTCCACTAGGGACAGATGCCACAGAAACTCGCCTCCTGGAGTATCTCATTGACAAGTCCAGGAAGAAGTTTTGGGGGATTGTGCGTCTGCTAACATCAAGAGCTCCTCTAGGGAAGAGAATGGCACTCTTAAACAAGGTTGTATTTGGAGCGATGCGATGGATAATTGGTGCACTCTTCCCCACGGTGCAAGCTCAGCAGATGCTCAACTACTTCCAGGTTAACTGTGTCAGGATAATGATGGGGATCAAAAGGGACCGCAGGAACTGTGGGTAGACTATGAGGCTCGATCCCTGAGGGCAGCGAGGGTGATGGTTCATAGGGTTGACTCACGTCGATGGGGTGACGTTCACGTCGATGCCTATTGGGATTTTCTCGGGCACCGCGCAAGAGAAGGGTTGCGGGAAAGTCCCTCGATCTCTGGCCTTCTGGCTGGGTTTCGAGGACTGGACTGGTGGCAGGGACAGCAAACCTTGAGTGGCGGCGCCCGGCGCCGTCGCCACTGCCCACATCTCATGAACTGTGAACGTCGGGTGGCAAAGACTACAGGGACAGCAGAATGGCGTCAAGTTGCAACCAACCGAAACCAATGGAGGGGGCTAAGTTGTACGCTGTCACCTCAAGCTGGAGAGGATCATTCACAGTAGGAAACTCGGTCACATTCACACATCTGCACCTATCCTGGCAAAGTCAACTGTCTTCCCGAGGTCCAGGACCCTGACCATCTCACCCCATTTCTGCTTTAATGCTCTCAGACTTTTGTACCTGAGCCATGGCGTGTGGTAGACTCGTCTCCTATGCGACCTGGACCTTCATATCATGGTACCTCGCTGCCGTCTCCCAAGCACTGGGGCGACGCCATCTTTGAGTCACAGCGTTGACAATGTGATTGCAATGCACAATGCCGAGGCAAAGTTTGATGGCCTGCAAGATCAGACCGTGAGGGAACGAGCAAAGGGAATGGAGGCTAGAGACCAAGGCAGCAACCCCTGGCGAAGGAATGGCGACTTCCACGAGCTGAACCTCTCCTATGTGACCGCGGTTGCTAACCTCACCCGGTGTGGTGACTCTGGGTCGCACGAGGAAGAGGTTCAGGTAGATGACCACCCTAGCCGATGCCAGCGAGAGATGGAGCATGGGCAATCTCCACCAGGCGGATATGGAAGAAGACGAGTGCATGACCTATGTGAAGGCCGACCTCATCTGGAATACCGAGGTGCTGGCGAACGCGGCAGTGAAACAGAACCAAGAGGGCAAGGGTTAGAACGAGCCGAAGGTGTGCAGGTAGGTGACCACCCTAGCCGATGCCAGCGAGAGCATGGGCAATCTCCGCCAGGCGGATATGGACGAAGACGAGTGCATGACCTATGTGAAGGCCGATCTCATCTAGAATACCGAGGTGCTGGTGAATGCGGCAGTGGAACAGAACCAAGAGGGCAAGGTTTAGAACGAGCCGAACGTTTTGGAATACGGGAACGTAGTGATCTCGGGTGCTGCTCGGAACGAAGGGAGATGGAAGAGGACACGGAAGAAGTGATATTTGTCCAAAGGGACAAGAGGGCCAGATCCCCATCGCCCAGAAGAAGGCGACGGCGCCGCAGGGAAGAGGAACAACGCCGCAACAACAGGCCAAAGCGGCCATGGTCAAGACCGGAGGCATAGAAGAGCAGAGCCTGAAGAAGTCGAAGAGATCCCGGACACGGAGGGCCGCGGCATCCACGGACCCAGCGCCGATCGCACCGCCTCTGCCCAACCTAGGACAGCTTCATGGCAACGTTCGTTGGTGGGCCGACATCATAGGATTCACAAATCCTCTTGACAATGATGAAAATCAAAACATCCTGTCTCCCAATGTGAGCCGAACAATTGTTGCGAATTTACAGCAGCAATCTGAAAGTGAGCGGACATCCTTGATCCAAGCGCTACTCTCCTTTGTAGGCCTGCTAATAGCAGAGCTTATGAAAACAGTCTCGGACGCGCAAACAGGTGAAGAGGTGGTCTTACTTCAGTGGGCGCCAGGGCTGACAGACGAGATGAGCTATATGCAGGTTGGCACCATCACGGCGCCTGGCGTCTTCGCTGGCCTCCTGCAGAAGCTGCAGGACGTCCTCGAGAAAATGAGCGCTGGGAGAAGCGCAAGGATCGCAAAGTGTCTGATGAAGCTCATGACCGACCACAGAGTAGCTCGATTACCGGTACTGGGCAAACGCACAGAAGATAGGCTGGATAGGCTAGCTGCTTTGCTAGCCTCTTTCGCAATGGACGGAGTGAACTCGACTTTGTGCAAGACCATCCTCAACAAGAGGCTGAAGCTGAAGGGTCAGAAAATACGGTGCCAGCCTCGCCAAGGCCTCAGCAGGAGGAGCGCATCCATGTCGATGACATCCTCAAGTCGGAACAAGGGAGGGTACACGTGGTGGTCCATAGGCGAAATGGATGATGACATGGTACGCAAGAAATATGGGGCCGATGGACTGGAGGTGTTCTACGCTGCCAAGGTTATGAGCTAGGAAGTGGAGGCCACGCTCCCGTTGCCCAAGGAAGAGGTCGTGCGGACTATGGAGGGTCAAGGGAAGATAGTCGAATCTGATGAAGAGCGCAGATCCAGGGAGATCATGGAGGGTGCAGTGGACAAAAGGCCCGGGTATGTGGAAGTGCATGTTGCGGCTACTGCGGAGGGGGAAATGACGGAAGAAGTGAGCCTCCCGAAGTGGGATGAGGAGTCAGTGCGGGGAGCAGAAGCCGTTCTCAGGGACAGGGTGAGGACGGAAATGAAGGAGCAGATAACCAAGGACTCGAGGAGGAACATGAGACACAGGAGGTCGATGAGACAGACCTCATGCAGCGCATGCCCATGGGGTACTCGGAAGTACTAGATCGATTGCTGCGGCAGCTAGAGAACATGCCCGTGGATAGAGCGGCGAGACATGCGGAATTCCTGGCGCAGCACCTCGCTGACCTCCGCAGGCCGGCGCCCCACCTCTATCGTCCCAGCCTACTGGAGAGACAAGCTAGACTGGAAGCACTCCTCAGTGTGTTCATGGACCAACGCGTGGACGCGCGTGAGGAGGAACAGCAATGGTGCAGAGACGAATGGGTCGGTGTCAGGCCCTTCTTGGAAACAATGGGAGAGGGAGAAGATGAAAGTCAGGAAGAGGAAGGCCATGGCTTGACAGAGACAAGAGACCCAGCACCTGAACACCAGATTGTCGCTATTGAGGATAGCCAGGAAGCGGTAGAAGAGGGGGGCAGTCAAGTGCAAGTTGCCAGGCTTGCAGATGGATCTGTGCGAGACATGTCCATGGAAGAAAATGAGATGCTGCAGTGGGCGGAAGCGGTGGAAGCTGAGGCGGCAGAGGACGAACGCAGAAGGGAACAAGAACGATGGAATGAGTTTGCGTCTACAGCCTACTCCTCATGGGGACAGTGGTCGGTGGCCAATCAAGACGTGGAGCCGGGGGTTAAAAGGGCACGAGTGCAAATTCGGACACAGGGAGAGGGCGGAAGAATAGTACGGGATGAGCAGTACATGGTAGCCCTGAGAGACGGGGAGCAACTGGCATATCAGGTCAGCGTCCGCAGCACGAATGTGGAGCAGGGGGACAAGGGTGTCTACGCAGAACGGGCGGAGGAGCACATGGCGTCTGAGATGGCGAGAAGCTCGAGTGAGGGAGCTGCCCCTCACTCGGAGAGTGTGCAAGGTGCAGAGGAACAGGATGGCCGAGATCAGCAAGGGAAAGACCATATAGATGTCCAGGAGTTCGTTGCTTCGCCTCTTGGCAGGAAGTTCTATGAGGAATGGAAGACGGGCAGAGTTGGCCCACAGATCATCGGCCAACGCTTCGGATATGGTGCCTTGGGGGCCTATGCAAGCATGTGGGAGGACGAGAAGGAGGCTCAAGAGAGAGAAAGTGGATGCCTGACCACCACGGCTGGTGAAGCTGAAGATCAGGGTGATGTGGAACCGGAACTACCAGAACATGGAACGGACCACGTCGAGGCCGAGGGCACAGGTGAAACGGCGATGGATGGTGGCCCTGTACATGAAGGAGGAGACGATTCGGGAGTGCCTGATCATCGACAACGTCACAGGGAAGGATTTCAGCTGAAGCCACCGCCAGATCAGCCGGTGAATGTTGAAGAATCGCAAGAAAGTGGAGGAAATGGAAGTGATCTGGTTCTGGTCGCGGGAGGGCATGCAGATGCAGGGCATCAGAGCGAGCAAATGGCGGCTGCTGCTGGTGAGGCGGCCAGTCTAACTCCTACCGGGGCGAGTGTGTCAGGAAGTTCAACAGCTGAGAGTAGCGGTAGAAGGGTACAGACAAGCCTGGACAGGTGGCTTTTGTAATAGACTTTTGCCAGGAGGGGTCAGGGATTCGTACAGAAATCGGGATGGCCATGTGCAGCTGTGCTCCTGCGGTGGATGGAGATTGCTCCTTTTGTGATACTTCCTTTTGGGCCTGCCAAAGCTGGTCTGAATTTCGGGGAGGCCGGGAGGGATGATCCCACTCCTGATGAGGTCTGAGATTGAAAGGTTATTTTGGGTGACTGGTGAAGGGGCCGACCCATTTGGGACCGTGTCATCAAGACATTTCCTCGGTCGCTGGCTGAGGAGAAAAGGTCCGACAAAAAAAGCAAAACCCTTAACCCCAAACCTTTAACCCCAAACCCTTAACCCTAAACACCTAAACCCTCATCCCTAAATCCTTAAATTCTAAAGCCTAATCCCTTAACCCAGAGGTTGGTAGGCGAAGCCATGCCTTAGCAAAGGTACCCGTCAATGAGACCAGCTGCAACGAAACCATGGAAGGCCAGGTTGAAAAAACTTCTTCAAGGGGTATAGGGTATACCACAAGGTTCCTGAAAACATTTATTAAGTTCTTTTACCAACAATCCTAACATTTAGCTGAAATTATAATTTCTACTGGGTTCCAAATGCCTTAGAGTATAGGCTGGGTTGCCTAAAATGTAGACCCATGATTAACAAACTCCCTGTTTTTACAGGCCTTAATATTAGGATCCTATCATAATCCCTATTAAGGGGATGGGGTTTATAAATAAGGGGTTTACATGAACTTGTGCTATAGTTTGTTTGAGAGGTATTGCATGGTACAGTTCTCGATCAGGGGCTGGTCAGAACACACTAAGATTAAAAAACACTACATCCATGAACTAGAGCACCCTTGAAACAGTGTCCGGCAATGTCCTGTGGATCTGCAGATAACGGTGAAGTGCTGCGGGGATTAGAGTTTCGGGTCTACTTGGAGGGTCAGCGGGACTTAGTGAGTATACTAATAACCTCTATAAGCCAGGTAAAAACCCCAACTATCCCTGGTATCAACCTGCTTACTAAGTCCCACCAACCCCCCAAGTGAAACAAGTCAGCTAAGCCCTAAACCCCTACCCTAAAGCCTACACCGTTAACCCTATTCCCTAAACCCTTAACCCCTACACCCTAAACGCTGAACCCTAAACCCCTAGACCCCTAAACCCTAAACCCCTTAAACCCTAAACCCTAATAGTGACGACACGAGGTAATGGTAATTATATTAGAGTCCTTATATACCTAGTATACCACTAATTTGGAGAAACTTTGCCTCTCCCCGACCGCTCATTTGTAGCATCACAAGTCGCAACTTTCACAACAGTGCAAATCCCATTCCAAACTTTTGGAACCCTATATAACCCCTATATTGCCTTTATTCTGCCCTATACAATCCTATATAATTTTATAAGCCTATATAACTCTATAGGGACCCTGAGCTACACTGCTTTCTGGTTGCTGAGTGCATCTCCTCCTGCAGCAGGCTCTCAACACTTGGAGATTTGCATAAACAACTGCCCCTAGGATTTGGTAGGAACATGAACTCAAGGATCCATACTGCAACAAATTGGGGAAATCTGCATCCCGAAATGCCTGAAGAGGCCTAGGAGAAAAACCACCGTCTGCTTCCTTCGGAGGGCTCTACATACAACATCTTGCGGCCCTAAACTCTAAACTAAACCCTAAATCTTGCGTGGGCTTGAGTTGCAATGTGTTCGCCGAGCTTTGCAGGGGGCTTAGCTAGATGTCAAGCACAACATACAGCCTCCTGAACCCTAGGGCAAACCCTAAGCCCGGTAGAGTTACCTTTGTAGTATGTTGAACACGCATGTTTTGCTGGCTGGTTTTTAGACTCCAGGGCAGACCTACCGGGCTACTTGTCCCAGCCCACACCCCGCATACGCGATTTAGGGTTTGAGGGACAGCAAGATGCAGTCCAGGAACTGGGATCCAACCCTGGAACTTCCAAAAAGCATAGCTTATGTGAGCTACTGTCAAGGTTGGACACAGGGTCCCTTTGGTAGTTTCATATCGTCCCTAAATATTCCCCAGTAAGGATCCATCAACTACATAAGGAATTGTTGACTGCAGCTCATGCCTGTGTCTTCCTTGCAGCAAAAATCCTAAACCCCCAACTCTCAACCCTATACCGCGTGGGTTCATGTCCTCAGCCGTCAACCAGTTTGAATCAGGGACCCTAAGCCCTGAACCCTAAAGCCTCAGGGATCTATGCCAAGCGGGGCAGCTTCCTTGGGATGCTGCCTAGTGCAGTGACTTCCAGCAGCAGGGAGGAGGTTTGAGGGTTGACTTCCTGGCTCTTAGTAGGGAATAAGGGAATACAACCCCTACATAATATATTCCCGTATCCCTACTCAGAACCAGTAAGGTTCAGTGTTCTAGCTTTGTGATTGAGAGTTCGCGGTATCGGCTTGAGGTTGAGCTGTTTTGGGGGGTCAAAGGTTCAGGATATCATCTTCAGCCTTGCTTGTTCTTAGTAGGGAATAAGGGAATGTAATTCATAAGAAATCCTTGTATCATCCCTGTGTTCCCTTATTCCCTACTGAGATCCACTAAGTAGCGTCAGATATACCATGGTCATGTCTTTGTGTGGGTGCACTGCCCCAAGCCAGAAGCATTGCCGACTTCATCCGAGGAAGCAGGAGGACTTTGTTGTTGTCAAGGCGAGGGGGTGGGAGTGGGCCCTTACAAGAAATATTTTTTGTGTTCAACGTGCATATAGCCCATCTTCTAGCAGCACAGGAATTTCCACTTGAGTCTTTGCCCGTTGTTGGCAAGGTGGACATTGATGGCGGTCCAGAACTGACCCTTGCAGGTGTTTACTTGGGAATGAAGGAGTAGCCCTAAACCCTGAACTCTAAACCGCATGTATAGGCACCACTCTAGGGAGTTCTAGCCAAAATACTCCCAATTTCTATTTTATTTTCCATGTTCTTGTCCATTTGATTCTCCATTATTGGGGTATTCTCCCTATATAAAACCCTAAACGCTAATAGGGTTCGCTAGGGATCCTTTCCTCAATTGCATGCCCCAAGCCCTAAAATTTACATGCAGTAGTAGTGCCCATTTTCTTTTCCATTTTCTGCTGGCCTAACCGAAGCCTATGTGCGATATATTAAAATTTAGGGTTTAGGGTTTAGGCCCTAGATCTTTAGCAATTTGCATTTTCTTTCTCCACCCGCTACTGACCACCCACCAGTAAGGACCATCGTGGAGGCAATAGCTCGGGATCCGGTGCTTAGCTCCCTCATAGATGAAATCTTTTTCGAGTGCCTTTGCAGCATTGATCACTAACCCCTGACAATTAGACTCCCGCAAGAAGGACTCTTCCCTAGTCCTAACAAGTGAATGTGTGGTATTGGGAACAGGTATGCGTAGTGTGACTGGTGGGTGGGCTTCAAATATTAGGGGAGGGCATTGGGTTAAGAGCCCTGGGATTTCCAGTGGTCTCAGGCTTCGCGTGCTTCCAGAAAGGCGTGGTAGTTGATGGAAGTTCTTGTTCCCCAGATGGCACTTACGGAAAACCATCTCCCCTACATATTCCCTTAAATACGACTAGCGGGAGCCTTAAATTACCTTCCTAGGGGACATTTCAACCCCATGTGGCCTTCAGCGCCGTGAAGGCTGTGCTTCGCTGAGCCATGAGAACTGTGTCGCTGTAATTCACGAGGTTTAAGGATTAAGGGTCTCGGGTTTTTAGTGACCATGATCGAGAATCACCTGGGGATTGGGGCTTTTTTAGGAGTTGAGGAACTTCAATGAAACTGGGTGCGGCTACACGTCTTCACCCTAAGCCCTACGCCTAACCCTACCCAGGTACCATTTCAAGTTTGATGGCCTGGACTTCGGATGGGGCAAGCTGGGGACAGGAAGGAGCTCGGCGGCTCTGTTTTGGGAAGTTTAGTTCAACGGTTCGCACGGATGGAAGTAGGCAGTTCTCATAATTACTTCGGGCCCCCTCTACATTAATTACATGCTACAACCCTCAAAAGACCACATTCCTCAACGACCAGCATGGCAAAAGCTGCCCGTGAGTTTAGAAATGCCCCTGGACAGAGGTTGGCTTGATTGAACAAGATTTTTTTGTTTTTTGTTGCCCATGACCTCTAAATGAACCTTATAACCCTAGACCTACCCTAGTGGAGGACCCTAAACATCAAACCCTACTGTAAGCCTATCCTAATCCTAGTGGAGGAATGTGGACACAGCTATAGACCTCATGAAGAGGCTTCGACAGGTCGCTTGGGATTGGCCCTTGTTAACTGGTCCAGGGTTTAGGGTTTGGGGTTTGGGATTTGGGCTTTAGGGTCTAGGGTTTCTAACAAACATGAGAGGTCTCCTAATCCCCAAGTAGCTTATAGTTGGGTAGTAACTACAGTTACAATTAAATTACATTGAGCCCAAGGCTTTCAAGGAAGGACCCATGAAGGCACATGTATTGGGATAATAGCTATGGGAGGAACCTTGTCCGTACGTGGTCGCTGAACTCTAAAGCCTATACCGTGAAGGTCCAGCATTGTAAAGTTTTTCGATGCAGGACGTTTCAGAAGTCGAAGCCCTGACGAGCTGAAGCGCTGGACCTGCAAAAGTTTGAAAGTCACTGACCCTTCGCTAACCCACTAATGTGCTAGGGGATACAGGTCAAAGCTGCTGCATTTGCTAAGTTGTGATCCGGTGCAGTTTGCTCTTGTATTCTAATGCAGGTGTTGGGGTTTTGGGTCTGAGGTTTAGGATACTATGTGTCAGGCTGGCATTCGATCGCACTTCTGGATCTGATGCGGCAGAGGTCCCCTTTGGGAATGCTCTGTAAATCTGATGACTCTTGCAGGCAAAAAGCCTGCACACTTCCCCAAATTTGGAGTGCAAGAAAATCGCCAGAAAAGCGTGGATGCTGCTAAGAGCCTAGAACAGGAGACATATGCGTTCAACAGGATTTGCGCTTGGAGCAAGAGGCGGTGGGTGCATGGTTGGTGTTCTTGAGCTGTTTCAGGAAACTCGACGGAGCCTGACTGTTGCTAATGGGTTCGGAGGCAGGAATTTTTTGGTGGTAGTGCTCGTCGCAGCTTGTGCCATCGGGAGGGGGAGGAGGAGGGAGGAGGCGGAGGAGGAGGAGGAGGAGGAGGAGGAGAATGAGGAGGAGGAGGGGGGAGGAGTTGGGAAGAGGGAGGGAGGGGTGAAGGAGGAGGCTTCTCCCCAAGCTTTTGTGCCTGTGGCAGTGGCATGTGCTAATGCAGATCCTTTTTCTGGGCCATGACCGTTGTGGGCAGAGTGCAAAAGCTTGCAAGTGGGCCGCCAAGGGTCCAAGGAGCCATGCAGCCTGTAAGTGAATCAGCGAGTGAAGGGGGTTCTGAGCCATGGCGTGGAGCAATCCGGTCGGAGACCCGGGCGGTGCTCCAGGAGATGTTGCAGGACATTGGCCTGCCAGTAGGTGCTTCAACCCAGCCGCCTTCCCCCTCCAGGCAGCCAGAGTATCGCAGGACGCCATCAGCACCAGCCAGTCACTTGCGCTTGCCCCTGGGTCCTCCCCCCCTGAGTCGTACGAACTCAACCTCGCCTTGGGCTGGTGCAAGAAGCATGTTTACTCGCGGAATTTCGGAGGGAGGAGCGGAGGTAGTGCTCAACGATGCAGCCATCGCCTCAACGATGCACGAATGGCACCGGCACCCTCGAAAACACAGGTCACGCAGCGCATCGCCGGCCAATAAGAAGTTTCGTAAATTTACTGGGCAAGGCAGTGGGAGCCGATTTCTTCGGGCCCCAAGCATGCCAGCAGAAGAGCAACTGATCCGAACATCTCGGAGGTATGGGCAGATGACCAATCCCTTGCTCATCAAGGAGTTATCTACGCCAGCGGAGTCCAGACTGGCCGCTTTGGTTGAGTCCACAGAGTTCAGTGGCTTCATCGGCGCAATGATACTGGCCAATGCCCTCTCGATAGGCTTGCAGACCCAGCATGAAGCTGACACATGGAGCCTTTCAATACCGCCAGGATTCGCCATCAGTTCCTCAGCGCGCAGTGTCAGAAATTAGTTATGTGGTACGGTTTTGGGCTTAGAGTTTAGGGTTTGATTGGTTTCAACGGAAGCATAAAAGTTTCAGGCGAGATGATTTTTGCCGGCGTCTTCGCAGTGGAGCTGACCCTTCGCATCACCGTGGGGGGCTGCGAGTTCTTCACGGGGCCAGAACGCAGCTGGAACTGGTTCCTGGGCCTCTCTCGGCAAACCTATACCTTTGTATGCCTCTTGTGGTTTAATGAAGCAGGAAAAATTGAAAGTAGTGGGCCCAAATACCAGCCCAGCAATGTCCCAGGTTTGATACGACGCTCATCCTTGCACAGGTAATGGAACAAGGGTCGCTTGGAGGCATGAAGGCACCCTGCCATTTCCCAGCAAAACCGTAACAGAACATCCCTCCGCCTCGTTAAGAATGATCGTGCCGGCAAAGGTCATAGTAAAGGTAATAGTACTAGCAGCAGTAATTTTAATGCTCATACAGTTGGTAAGGTAATGACCTAGTCATAGCAATCGTAGTTTGAATTGTCACAGCAAGAGTACTAGCAGTAGAAAGACTTACATTAGTAGTAACAGTGAAAGTAATAGCAATTAGGAATAGTAACTAGTAAGTAGTAAGTAGTAGATTCTTAGTAGATAGTAAATAGTAGTAAGTAGTAAGTAGTAAATAGTAATAGACATGCTGATAGTGATTGTAATAGTAATAGTACTAGTAATAGAAAAAGTAGTAGTAATGGTAATGGTAATGGTAATGGTAATAGTAGTAGTAGTAGTAGTAGTAGAAGTAGTAGTAGTCGTAGTAGTAGTAGTAGTAATAATAAGAGGAAAAGTAGTAGTAGTAGTAGTAGTAGTAGTAGTAGTAGTAGCAGCAGCAGCAGCAGCAGCAGCAGTAGTAGTAGTAGTAGTAAGAGTAGTAACAGTAACGGTAAGGTAACGGTAACAGTAATAAACATATTCTTCTGAAGAACCCCCAGCAACGCCCAGGATTCTTGGGTGCTGCGCAGGGCAATATGAGTGTGTTCGGGTGGACAGTTGACATTTTGGTGCCCTGTAGGGCCGCAACGCAGGGGGCCATATTCAATATGATGCTTTTGGTAAACCCTATGACTATCACATCATTCTTAAACGGTCCTCATGTTAGGGCTTGCGGACCTCAAATCCTTGCTCCTAAACCCTAAACCTTAATCCGTGCCCTCTCACTAGAAAAGAGCAGAAGGAGTGTAGGCTATTTAAGTTTGATCGAGGGGAACCTTTTGGGGGTAGTATAGGGACGGGTACGGGGAGCCCATGGGTGCATGTGATGGCACATGACTTTGGCCTTCTGCTTCCTGTACACATGCGATTTATGCTGCGGGTTTGGGGTTTGGGGTTTAGGGTCATGCCAACGGCGGTGGCCATAGTGACTATCACGCTAATGGGGTCCCCATAATAAGGATCATCGTATTTTCGGGGTCTGTATTTGGCTTCCCCTTTAAAAGGAAACTACCAAAGGGCGCACAGCCACGTCCCATACGCTCCTAGAATTACAAGAGCTGCTTTGTGATACTTTGCGTGCGCGTTGTTGTCAAGGATCTTCGCAACAATCATCTATCGCAGGGGCTCCTTGGAGGGGCTCAAGTACCTCAGTTGTTGTGGAAGAAAGTTTTTTTTCTTTCGGTGGTAAACCCAATCTAGAATGAAGATGATAATCTTCAATAGTAATTACCTCATCAGTAAGTACCCCAGGTTACCGGAGATAATGCCAGACAGCATTGTCCTCCGCGCCTTGCGCATTTTTCGGTTGCTCCGCATTTTGTGCCTTGCCCGCATGTGTGGACTAGGGTTTGCGGGTCTAATCTTTAGGGTTATTCGGCACGAGCTCCCTTGCATGCATTCCCATATGTTCTGGGTACTAGTCGCGGCAAAATGAAAAACCACCGCATCAGAAACTTTGGATTTTCATTGGAATGCCAATGTAGACTGTTCATTGCATTGTCCATCTTCTTTTTCGTTTGATTCTGAACTATTGGGGTAAGATAGTATGTTCAGGTAATTGCCACATACAATCTCTGGAAAATGCCAATTATCATCCCCTATATGTAAATACATTAATAAGTGTATATACATCTAGATATTTGTATGTATGTACATAGAAATAGATAGCCCTGAACCCTGCACCCTGCCAGCCAAGTGGGTGGATAAAAACCTTGAACCTCTGGTGTTGCCTGAGGCCAGCAACTGAGCGAACCCATGCGGAAAATCAACTTGCTTAGGGTTTAGGATTTAGAGCTTCAGGTTTAGGGTTGAGGGGAACCCCAACATAAACCCCCAAATGGTATAGTCCTCATTCGATCGACCTCCCAAACTGTATCCCTAATTTTGGGAAACCTCCGACTCAGCTTGCCATGCAAAGTGGAACACACCTTCAGAGTGAACCCTAAACCCTAAACCCTAAACCCTATCAAAACTTCACCAACCCAAGGGACATAATAACCACGAGAACAACCTCATCGCGCTAGGGAAGTGAGGTGCCAAATACAGGAGGGCTTAGGGTTTGGGGTTTAGGGTAAGGGGTCTCCTTAGGAAGTATTGTTAGTTTCGATTATAATATAGCCCTCAGGATTTTTTGAAGTTATTGTTCTAAATATAGGTCTACGGAGACTACAGGAAAAACGATAGCAACCTTAAACTCTAAACTTTGACTCTCAGCACGGCTTAAGGTTAAGGGTTTAGGGTGTCATAGGCAAATTCCGACAGAGGGTACTTCTTTCAAGAGTTTAGGGTTTAGGGTTTAGGGTTTCATGAACCCTTGTCCAGGGATTTCTTGTCCAGCTATGTTTCGGCAATTGCTTTGTGCTTCTATGCGAATTTCCCTTGCTATGGACACTTGGGTTTTGCCCAAATATTAGAATCCCTATTATGGGGACCAAAAGGTACCCCTAATTTTGGGAAACCTTCATATTTGAGGCGAGTCCTGCGCATGATGCACATCAGCAGCGAGTTGCAGGCCGCTTTTTAGTTAAGGCCTTGCGCAGTACATTTAAGGGTTTAGGGTTTAAAATCAATTGAATGAGGAAATGCAAAATTAGATGGAAAGTGGCTTACATAAAGTTTAGAGTGCTTGCATCGATGCCCCAATCCCAATAGTACAAGCCCCATATGCGAGTCATAGGGTCCCTACCTGTCGGGAGTTTGGGGTCACCAAAATCCCCTCGATAGTCAAGGCCCCTAAGCCCTAATCGCCCTTTGCTCCCCTGAGCCCTAACATCCCCAAACCCTAAACCCTAAACCCTAAACCCTAATGGTTTAGGGTTTAGGGTTTAAATGATCCTGAGGTTGCTTTGCTGCCTCGAAGTCATTGTAGCGTTTATTAGGATTTTATTGGGATTTAACTGTTTACCTCACGCCCCTTGCTGTTTACTGGATAAATCAGCATGACCTCACCCTGACGCCTAAACCCTACACCCTCAACAGACCTCACCCTAAATGGTGGTGTACATGTATAGATACATATACCTACAAATACAAGGGAAAATAGAAACAGATAGACAGGTGTATACATCGAAAAGGAAAGTTATCCCCAAACGGCCTGGTTGGAGGGTTTGGCATGATCTTGCCAGTATTTCGCAGTAGCCTGCAAAGCCCCAGGTCGCCCTTCATATGCCCATAGTTGTACCTCTAGACGTCATATATAGGGTTTAGGGTTTAGGATTAAGGTTTCAGGGCTTCCCAAAATTAGCGGTACCATTCTGGGTTCCCCATAATAAATAAGGATAACAACGTTTCTGGGTCTAGATTGGGGTCATTCCATTTTGTGAAATAGCTGTATATTACGATGCGCATTACAGGAACCCCAAACCTGCAGCCGGCCCAGCCCCTGCAGTAGGTTGCATGTTCTTGTCCATTCCCATATTTAAATGTTGCCATGAAATAAGCCTAGTCGTTCACATTTCATCTGCCATTGGCTTTTCCACTTGATTCTTCATTATTGGGGTAATGTCCCCCCTAAGCCCTAAACGCAAATCCCCTACCGCTGCATTACTTGATATGATGCGAAGGCCATCATGACAGCCATTGTGAAGGGGATGCGCTCCTTCATCTGGACACTCGCTTTCATGTTCCTGGTGCTCTATGCAGTGGGCGTCTTCTTGACGCAGTGCGTGACCGACTACAAGGTGGGAGTTTTTCAAAGTAGTCCTTCATCCCGACTAAGGCCTGTACAACTTCTTGAAAAATCCCAGGACCCCAAGATAATCCAAAAACCTACACATGTTGGGTTTTCTGCTGTTCAGTAAATTTGGGTTCGTGACATGAGAGACTGCCAGAAAAGTCCCATTGCAAATAGAGGCATGCGGGTTCTTGTGAGGTATCTGTTGTTGTCCTCTTGACTTATTGAGACTCTATGGCCTAAGCTCCTTTGCTACAGCTCTCAGTGCCTGATGCTTCGGCACCTGTCATTGAGTTGGGGTTATTACTCACGGGTCTACATTAAACCCTGAACCTAAACCCTAAACCCTAAACCCTAAACTCCCTAACTTTTGAGAAGCAGCCAGGTGGCCTTGGTAGGGAATGGCCATGCTGAGGACAAGCTACAAGGCTCTGGGTTTCTGTTAGGGAAGAACTTACATGTTTAGGGTTGAGGGTTCAGGGTTTAGGGTTTAGGGTTTAAGAGTGTCCAAAAGATTTAAATCCTTAGGTTTCTACCTAGACCCCCCCAAGTACCCTAAAATGGAGTCTATGTAGCTTCTATTTGGGGTTACTTAAGATCTATAGAGGCTACTTGGGGGGTCTAGGTAGGGTTTAGGCTTTAGGGTGCAGGGTTCAGGGTTTAGCGTTTAGGGTTTTCAGGGTTTAGGCTGGAGGGTTGGCTGTTTAAGGTTCATGTGCAGGAACCGGGTTATGTACGGGATGTATAGGGCTTATGGCTATACATTGGTTGTATATGGTTATCTAGGGTTAAGCTACCAGAACGGAGATTAAGACCAAAAAGCAAGCGGAACATGAAATGGAAACTGGGGGTTGTGATTTAAGGGACTCAAGTTAAATGCCATACAAAAAACGGGTTCCGTATTTTGATAATTAATTTGGCGCTGAACCCTACAACCTAAACTCTAATCTTTAAACCCTAGACCCTAAACCCTGAATCTGCAACCCAGGCTACTTTGGATCCCTCCCCGAGACGATGCTTTCCTTGTTTCAGGCCGTCACGGACGGTCAGGACTGGATCATCTTCACCCTTGCTTTGGTTAAGGGTTTTCGGGTTCGGGGGTCAGGGTAGCAAAAAGTCATGACAATAGCATCAAATTTAGTAATAGCTATAGTCATAGCTAATTATTCAATACCATCTCATAGCAAGGTTTTGATCATACTTGGTGGGGAAGTGACGGTTTCTAAAAATCGGGGTGCAGTCAGGGCCCCTGAAGAATCTACATACATATATATATATATATGTGTGTGTATATCTACAGGTTCAAATAGTTTTGTATATGTATAGAGATTTTTTAAATTGGCTTGTAGGGGTTCCCTTCAGGAATATGGGCCAATCTTGAGAACCCTCCCAGATGTCCTTCAACCCTAAACCCTAAGCCATATACCTGATGTTGGGATCAAAGGTAGGAAAAGAGTTACAAGTCAGGTGGAGACTTCACGGGCTCCCTCCTATGCCACGCTTTAGGGTTTAGGGTCCAGGGTTTAGGCTTGAGGGTTTACGGCTCAAGGCCATTTTGGCTCAAGCCCTGGCTACGAGACCCCAAGTGGGTGATTGCAACAATTCGGATTCAGGAGTTCTTTAGCGCTTTGCTCTCCGGTGTTTGCCATGGTATCAGACACGGACCACTGTAAGCTGTGCTCATGTATTGGTTA